ATACGTGTGGGTAAATATCTCTCTGTGGATACGGGCGTTTAATAGCAACGGCTGCTCAGCTGCTGGTTCTTTCTGGCTGTTCCATGGGCTACACATACAAAAATAGGATGACAAACAAAAATGATGGCAGTGAATCACTTAAACACAGTATCCACTTTATTGCCCCATTTTTAGGGATCCTTCCACTTGCTTGTCTGTCCGTTTTCCAGCTCCAAGCTGGATAGCTTGGAGCACATTTTGTGTGCAGCGGTGCAGATCATCTGATGATCTTTATTTTGGTTAGATCTTGCTGTAACTGCTGTGCTCACTTTGTTCAGGAGGAACACACCTTCCCGCAGAAACTTGTTTGCCCACGCCCGTGCCACTGCTGTTTGATGATTGTAGCGTAACATTAATCCACTAGATTGGATTTAACGCTTTAATTTTACTGTCTGGTAGAGTCCAAAGGTGTTGAATGTACTGTGCTGTAATATTAAAAAGTAGTAAATGCTACTTAAATGATCAGGAGAAAAATAAACTTATGTGTTGATAATGAAATAAACTTATGTGTTAACCCACAGAGCTGGGTGCATGGATCTGAATTTGGCTACGTTGGATCTCTGTGCTGAGAGATCCCTGAACTTGCCAACCATGCCCCATCCCTTAAACACGGCCAAAGCAGTACCCTCAGCTTTCACTTCTTATTTTTTTGTATTTGTTTCACCCTTCTTCTCCCTTCTCTCAGGTTTTTGTGTTGGCTTTCACATTTCTGCTGCTCTTCCTTGGGAACTTCCTCACTACTCTCAAAGTGGTGCACACTAAACTCCAGAAAAACAAAGACAAAATGAAGAAGCTGTGATGCCTCCCCGCCCCTGCCATGCTCCCCAGCGTGCTGGGTTTGGGACAGATCCTGCTAAACCCCAGCTGCACGATGGACGGGCTCGGAAGGACTCATCCGTCCCCATGTTTGGCGAAGGATACGGACTCTGCCAGCACAGACTCAGTATTAACGCAAGCATGGCTCTCCAGTCCGCACTCCTGCTATTTATGTCTATTTAATACCAAATGTATTTGCTTTTTGTTGTTTTTTTTTGTTCCGTTTTGTTTTTTTTCCTGTATATTGAGCAGCATGCACCTGCCCAGCGAACCGCCAGCATTGGGAGACTGTGGGATCTACTGTAATTCCAATACTGGAATGATATTTAAACACTTTCCAGTTTTATTATTTAAATGATGGGTATGGGATTTGCAAAGGTTTACAAACACTCCAGGTTGATCGGTAATACAGACCAAATGCTGTTTTTAAAGGCATTTGTTTAAGACATATTTTCAGTGGCAATACTAACTTCTATGTACTGTGAAAAAAAGGTCCATCTTTGTACCATACTGCTGCTATACACACTTTTAAAAAGCTATTTAAAGAAGAGAACTTCTCTTTTGAAAAAAACCAAGCAAGCAAGAGCAGTTTTTTAAGGGGCAGGGAAGTCTGCTAGCCTTCTTCCAGGGAGACCAAGCCATCTGCCCAGGCCTGGAAACAACCTAAACCAAACCACTTGAGACACAGCTGCTGTAGCCCCTTTATGATAACAAACACACGGCCCTTTGGCTTGGTTTTTTTGAGATGTATTTTCTCCTTAAAATGGCCCCAATTAGTGTCAATGGGCGCAGTTGCACTTTGGTTTCTATTTTCAGTATTTTTTGCTCTCAGTGCCATTCTGGCAAAGGGAGGACAGGCTCAGCAGAAATATGAAATACTTTCTTTTAGATATTGCGCTTGTACCGGAAATTAAGAGAATGTAAACGCTCATTCAGGAGGATGGCAGAGGACAAGTTAAGGTCCTGCTTAACTCCTTGTGCTGCTTGAACTTAAACTTACTTACCCAAATAAGCTTGGTTTGGGTGCTGTGCCGGCTGCAGAGCAGTGAGCGGCTTTCGGCAGCGCCTTGCCCGATGGCGAAGGCTTCCTCTGAGCCAGCCCAAAGCCCAAGTCGGGCACGTGCTTCGGCAGAGCGCACTCTGAAAATGATGCCCTTCTCCCGCGCAGCGTGCTCGGGAAGAAATACGTCCGCACTATGGACTTGAAATGGTTTCTTTGGTTCTTCTGTTGCTGCGAGGCAAGCAAAGTTACCTTACGGTGTCACTGTCCTGTGGGCATGAACAATAAATTGCAATTTGCGTATTTTGAACAACTTTTACACTAGCTAGGCTGTATCTTGCCATGTTAACTTTTGCACACCCCATGAGGCTGGGGTGGTTTTTTTGTTTTTTTCTTTTAATCTTTTGAACTCTCTATTTATTAAATGTAAGTTGTTTTATTTTGAGAGGGATGCTAGGACCTCCTGGATCTGAGCACTGGACCTGGTTCTCCAGGGTTGGGGAGCTCTGCACATGGTGAGTCACTTGAGTTCTGCAGGATGAGAAACTCATTGAAAAAGCGAGAAAGGATTCACCCTGTGGAGCTCAGGGTAAATGAGGTAACTTCCTGCACGTTGATGTTTCAGTTTCCTACTGGGTAAGGTGATGGAGGTGGGGTTGCACAATTCTTAAGATCTTTCTATAGTCGAAGGCGCGTGCCAACTTGGAACTTTTTCTGATTCTCCATTTTAAGCCTGTAGGGATTCACAAATTAAATCAAAACAAAGCAGGAGAAGAAAGAACAAAAAAAAAGTTATTTCATGTTACTGACAGAGGATGAAGCTGCATGAAGGGTGTACGATGTGCAGTGGTTGTCTGACAGCAGGCTCCGGGCATGTACCACCTAAACTTTTTGGCAAAAGGTTGTGTCTTGTCACTGTTCTGCAAGTCCTATGTCCTGTAGGATGGGCTGTAGTTTGCCTTGCACAGAAAGCTGTGAGCGACACTTGTGCTGCAGAACCTCCTTCCCCTTCAAGGGTTTGGTTTATAATGGCTACAGACTGGTGATCGCTTCTAGAAATCTGAGATCTCGCTGCATGGGACATGGAAGAGAAGGAGGGGATTTGAGGCACAGGTACGAGGAGGTGCAGTGGGAGCACCCCTCATCCTTAAACACAACTGACACCTTCGTCACAAAAGGGAAAATTTTAATCTCTGGCAATAGCGGTGAATTCATCAATTAATGAACATAGCAAGCACCGATTTTACAGCTGCCACGTATTAAATAAGCTCTGTATGTTTATTGTAAAACGTGCAATTGTGTTGCAGAGGAAAAAAATCCATTAAGTTACGTAGTAGCAGTCGCTGTTTGTTGCAGTTTAAATAGTGAGTCCTGACTGGTGGCTGGCTGCAGTTAGGAGCAAAAGCCAGATGAACGGGGGAACGCACCATCAGATAACCTCGATCAAAAGCTTCGAAAACTTGTGAGAGCAGCACAACAAAAGTGCAAAAATACTAAAAATATTTAAAAATTGAAAATAAAAATTGTTCCAGGAATACAAACGTAATGAAAAAAGGGTCTTTAAAGTTACGCTGGTTTTAAAATCGGATGCGCTTGGCTCTCGTGCAGCCAACGCTCCCGTGCAGTCCAGATCACAACACCGAGCACACCCTCCGCTTCCTTTGGCGCTTGGCTTTTTTCATGGCGTTCAGTGCAATGGTTGTTGCTTCTTTAAAAACGTTTTCTATGTTCTCACGGCATTTTGCTGAGCACTCCAAGTAAACTTCTGCGTTAATCTGCTGACAGGCTTCTTTACCCTGGAAAGAACAAAAGGTAAGAAAAGATGTCAACCTCGCACAGGAGAAAATGAAGGTGAGATGGGGAGGGAAGGGAATTATTTTTTACATTTTCATATTGTGAAGGTCAGGAAGAAGCTGCCTCTGAGTACAGTGCTAGAGTTTAAGTGGCATTGGTAATAAACAGAGGCACTGTTAAAAAAACTAGGGTTTTCTGTGTTCCCTGTGTTGATCTAGAGCCTGTCCTAACAGCTCACTGCATTAGACACTCTAAGATGCAGACTGCTGATAGTATAAAAATATTCACAGCATTAGATTTGTTTCAGAGAAATGCTCAGGCAGATACTTAAGTGAGGATAAAGTTTCTACACGGCACTTATTTTTTTCAGGCCTGACCTTATGTGACTGTGTGATGTCAACTTCAGTAATGAATGTCACACGCAAGGACAGAATCTGGACCAATGTCTTGCCTTGTTTTGCTGGTGCACATGCAGGAACCCTGACTTTCGCTTCAGAGCACCACAAGGACTCAGCTGAAATCCTCACACGTGCATTTCTGACCCTCACCCCAATGCATGCGATGGGAACAGACTAGAATCTAAAATGTTTGCATGCAGTCCTGGTTGTGCGAAATCACTACAGACAGAAACACAGTGATTTCTTACTTTGCCTGTGATCCTTTTATTGCCAGTGCAGAGTCAGAACCCAGCTTTGAACGCTTGTGAGCTTTGGAGTTTGAATTCCAGGTCTGCAACCCACAGCTCACAAACTCTGCTTTTATTCATTATAAGCCCTGGGAGTGGGATCACTTGAGCACTCAGGCTTCTAGAGGGGGACTTTTCTTCAGCATATTTAAGTGAAATTTGTCTCCTTCCAGTTGTTTGCAAGCTGCAGTGCTGGCAATAGTGTTCAGCTCCTCTGCACCTGGCATTGGAAGCATCACGTTGTGCGACTCAAGATGCCACCAGCTGTAAAAGACTGAGGTAACGTATATTTAAAAGGAGAAAAAACAAATGGGAGGGCTCTCACAGGAGATGAAGTTCATACATCGTGTGGGCCCGGGAATTTAATTGCATGAGGCCTCAGCAGACTCGCCAAAAGTGTGTTGTTTGCCCTGAACCTCACGTGTAAGAGTGATGAAGGGAATGCATGCAAATGAGGGACAACCTGCAGCGGCTCACAAAGCAACAGGATGGGCCTCTCATCTTGTGTGCAAGGCAGCCAAACGGAAAGTCCCAGCGTGGTTTAGTGGTGATGCAGTTGGCTGTTATATTCCTGCTCTTTAGAAAAAGTAATGATTCATTCAAGGTCCTAGTGCACTTAACCTTGTTCCCCAGACTTGGGTCTCAAACGGTTCAAAAGCTGAAGTAAGCTGAGATGACCGGAGGAGGATGGCTTTGTAGTTTAAAAAAAAAATCAAACCACAACAACAAAAAGTAGGAGACCAGAGCAGAAAGGTGCCATGTGACAGGGGCAAGTTGTTCCATCACCGACTCTTCCTCCTCTACCTAGGACAGCTATGCCAGTGGTGTAACACTGGTTGTAAGTCTCACTGCTTTCTAATACTTAAAACTGAAAACATTTGATAATATGTAGATCTTTTTTTATCCTTTAGAGACTTCAAAGAAAAGTCTCTTATGTTAGAGAAGCCTGTCTTTACCACAATCCTGATCAAAGTACCAGTGATGGGACAAATGTACGCTAATAAAAATTACAGAGTCCAGCAAACTTGGCGAGAGTTACAAATTTTTAATAGTAATAACCCAACTCTGAAAGGAAACAAGAATGAGATGTAACGAGCCTCGAAGGCGTAGCTCGCAGTGTCCTTTCAGACACCCCAAGATATGCAAAACACTCTTCAAATTTCTCTTGAGTGCTAAAAATAAGTGGTGATTTGGCCACTTCCAAAAAGGAAGAAACCCATGTTAGTGCTGACTGTCAATGATTCCTTTATTTGGACACTGCAATCTCCTAAATTTGGAGTATCTGTGATTGTACTTGTGATGAACAATGCCACTGAAGTAAGCGTGCTTTATGTCTTGCAAGGAGGACGTCACTTTAAATGTGCTTTTACGTACCTGGTTGTAAGTGATGGGTTCCTGCTTAGAAGCCTTGAGCTTGCGCAATTGTTCTTTGTCTTTCCGAAGGTCTGTCTTGCAGCCGATCAGTACGAGCGGGACTCCTCGGCAGAAGTGATTCACTTCAGGATACCACTGATGGTAGAAAACCAAAATTTTTTACAATTAGCTTTTTTTTTTCCCCCCTGAAACCAAAACAGTAGAGCCAAGAAACAGAATTAGCATTTAATATATGCCGTCACTGCGGAGTTTTGAAAGTTGTTACTCTAGTGCTAGGAGCCCAACATGCACTATTTACATTAGAAACATTTAAAAGTCCACCCAAAGTCAGTTGCTTTATAAAAACACAGGTGGCATCTGTCGCTATGCCAAAGTGGTTATTTTACATCTGTTTAAATTCAGAAAAGCTCCTCTAAAGTCATATTTAAGAGCAGAATTTGGATGAGATCTTGCTTTGTTTTGCTGGTGCTATAAGCAGGAACACTTCTACTTGTCGTGCAGACAAGTGGTTGCTTACATCTCTCCTCTGCAGTAAAATGTACACATGATGGAAGCAGACCTGCATCTAAAATGCTCGTGTGCAACGTTGGTCGTGTGACATCGCTAGAGATAAAGCAGCAGTTTCAGCTGGTGTTAGATCTTTTTAGTGAACTGCAGAGCCATCCTCAGTTCTGAGCACTTAGAGCTGTGGAGAGGTGAGCTCCAGGTCTAAGGTCCGTGACCTTGGCATCTACACACCCAGAGCACAGGACACTAAAAGCATCGGCTGTTTTAATCTGACATCTTGTCATTTATCATGTGTATGTAATTCTTTTAAAAGGTTGAAGTAATTGAGAAAGCCTCTTACCTTAGCCACTACGTTATCATAGCTAGTGGGGTTCATGACATCGTAACAAATTAACACGACGTTCGTGTTCTGGTAAGAAAGTGGTCGTAGCCGGTCATAGTCCTCCTGTCCTGAAACACAGAGAATGTTTGGGATAAAAGAAATTTCTGTCCTTAACAAGCAGTATGATGGGAATATGTAAAAATACATATGTGAGATCGAGGACAATGTTACTGTAATTGCAGACTGCAAGTTTTCCTACTTGTATAATTTCTTCCCTTAAATGCAGGATATTCCTCTTCACTGACGAAAGCAATACTTTCAAATACAAAACATGTTCTTGGCAAGTTGTAATAAAAAGCTTGCTTTGTCCAACTGCTAAGTACTCAGAAGCAATTCTTATTGCCAGTTGCCAAGCTGCTGCTCACAAGAAAAATCAGCAAGAGGAATTTGACAGTTATCGATTAAAACATCTGTAGTTTGGCAGTGAAGGGATGCTGAAAATTGGGGTGTGCCTCTACTTGGTACCAATGATTCCTGTCCTGGAACCTGTCTCATTCCCAGGTCACATATTCATCGCCAGCCAACATACTCATCTCCAGCTGCAACCTGAAGAACTGCAGATACCACAAGGCCAGTAATTCTACAATACTTTGCTCCCCTCCTTAATTTAAACAATGGATTGAGATACAGGTTTTAACAAGGCAATCCCTACTGATAAACCAGTACTCAGTTTGCCTGAGATAGTTGTAAAATGGGAATCCTAGGTTTGGACCACGTTGTATTTGAGCTCCCACAAGAGCAGCATGCTCCGTGAGTGAGGTGCAGAACAAAGAAGGATTGATCCCTCAAAGTTTAATCCAGAAATAATAGACAATTGACAAAATTATGCATGCTGTATAAACATTCAGAGCAAAGACCTTACTGCTTAGCCCTTCTTACTCTCTCTCAAATCCACATACTTGTTTGCAACCAATTTGCCATTTTGTGGCAAAGATAATCCTCTAAATACATTAAAGGTGTCAGGTGCTAAACTTGGGTTTTTTTCTTCCTAACTTCCTCTGCTGTGTATGTTTCTCCCAGCTCAAGTTTATGCCTCTGAGTTTCTACCAACGTAGCCTGTAAAATCAAAAGATTCTCCCAGTTATTGCTGGCAATTTGTGAGGCAGACAGGACTGTCCCCTTGGAAGAAACATGTTCATTTGCTTGGAATGAGAACATACAGCTGAATTCCCACTCTCCTGGATGGGATAATGGAAGAGGTGTCTTCAGTGACGTGACACAATTATGCTGTATTGCAAATCAAAAACTATAGACATGCCCCAGTGAACTGCACCTTCAGCTCCAAAACCAGCTGTACGGGGTTTTTTTAAGCAAATAGAAAATAAAGCAGAAACTGCTGCTGTATAAAATGCAGCTCCGTGTGTATCTGGATTTTCAAGTACAGAGCACAGAACAAGGTAGAGCACTGAGACCACCGGGGGAAGGTTAGATGGTAATTGCTTAACTTGGATTACGGTCAGATGATTGCAGTGCTCATGTGGAAGGAGAGGAAGCTATTCTTTAAGAGCTCAGTTGCTGAGGCTGTAACAGGACCCAGACAGAGCTGTGTCTAAACATCAACATCCTTCTCACTGAACACAACCCCTTTCACCCCCTGTCCTTAAGTGCTGCTCAGGCAAAAAAGGGCCTGGGAGACTTTTCCTCTGTAGAGCTGTTCAGTCTGTGGTCAGAGCTTATTTGTAAACAGATTTAGGTCTTCTACGAGAGGAATTTTAAAATGAAGGAGCAGGGCTGAACCTAAGCAGTAACTGAATGTATATGCAAACTCCCCAAGTGTGCTTCCTCAAGCACAGGTAGCTGTTTTCCTTCCCCAGTAAGCAAAAATCATGCTGTGGGAGAATCAATTAAATATATGCCTACGTGTGAACATATCTGTGACTCTCCTCTGCCGCCTTCACCTCACTGTAACATCAGAGACCCTGCTTGTTTTGGTTTTTCTAAAGAAAAAAACTCCATTCAGCTGAATTCACCTAAAATTTGCTAATTCTTTGCAAAGATCACACTCCTGCATGTCTCTGTGACGTGCTGTGTACCTCACATCACTGCAGCTGGGCCCTGCGGCAGGGCGGGACCTTAAGTGATGGCTGAGGGTGAACAGGGCATCGTGGTTTAGGATCAACATGGAACTTGCCATGGCGAGCCCTCACAGGCACACAGAAATGCACTGTGCTCTCCTTGATTTGTTATTCTGCAGCCTCCACAGGAATACCCTGGTTATTGGCTTGCCAGCTATGTTTTTTCACTATTATGTTTAGGAAAAAAAAAAAAAAAGGGAAACAGACATTCAAACATTAGAGGAGAACACGGGGAGAGGGCACACTTTAATTAAAAAGTTGGGGTTTTTTTCTTCCTCAGGCACACCCACCCTTTCAAAGTTATGAAAAATTATTCTTGCATATACTGGCCTTTAAAATTTCTCTTAAGGCCTCAGGCTGCCGTGCATGTGTCATTACAGACATGAAAAACCCTGCTGGAGGCTTTGCATGTGCTTCCTGCCAGTTAGAGCAAGTACCCACAACGGATGAGACATTGCTTCCTCCCCAGCTCAGCAGAGCTCTTGTCTTTGCTCTGGGAAATTCCTGCACCAAACCGCAACAGAAATAGAACCTCATGCCTGGACTGCAGCTAAAGCCTCCACACTGCTCTCTCAAGACGTAAAAAAATAGAGTGAATTTACCTCTTGAGGCCTTTGCCTCTATCAAGCCCAGCAAGAAATGGAAACTTGTAATTGAACAAGCAGCTGCAAAGCCTGCTTGCAGATGAGACAAGCGGTATTGCAAAGCCTTTACACATTGCGTATGTTTACCACCAACTTCCCGCAACAGTAAGAGGTGCCTCTGATGAGGAACATAGAGTAGCATGGACAAAAGTCTTACAACAAGTAGTTACTCTAGCATATTTTAGACTAACTCAGAAACTTAATTTGTTACCAAAATTCTTGTAAGGAAAAAAAGCGCACCTTTTCTAGCTTGAAATGTTTGATTCCTAGGCACTTTGTTTGTGTCCTGCTCCTTCAATAAGTAGGGCAAGCTCAAAGTCTCAAAGCTGCACAGGACTTGACAGTACAAAGAATCCTTCTAACTTTAAAGAGCCCACAGAGCTGAACCTCTCCTTTACCTTCCTATGATGCTGAAGTACATGCAAGATCCTAAAAATATCGAAGCCCTTTCTGCAGAAGGTGCATCATGAAGATCCAGGGACACTTCTTACAGCTTTGTCTTCTTCTCCCCTACACTGCTACATGGCACTTCTCCTCAGAACTGGGTTTTACATCCTTTTGATCCCATTTAAATGATTTTACGATAATCTGAATGCTTTGGGAACCTTTCAGACTGAAAAGCAAAACACAGGCATAAAGCTGTTTTAGGATTTTAGAGAAGAGCAGGACCAGCTCAAGTAGTTCACGAAGTCAGAAGATAATTCATAAAATATGGCGATACCAATATGCTGCACTGTTAAAACTACTGCACTTCCAGTAATAATTTATATATTTAGACTCCTCTTAAAACTGCAGTTGCTGCTGTACACCCACCCCAGAGCATCAGCACCCAGCTGAGAGAGGAATTTAATTAGCTGCTGCTACACGACACGATAGAAGCGAGTCAACATGATGAAACACCGATTCCAAAACTGCATCTCCTCTGCTGCATCCACGTGGCAGAGGGGCAGGAGCTCCTGTCTCCTGAACTGGATACTCCCCTTGCTCTTCTCTTACTGCACTATTTGAACTTGGAGGACACACCACAACTCTCGGTCCTAGTCTAACCCTTAAGGGACTCAACGTCAATTTTGTATTATTAAAACCAGGATGGGATTAAAACGTGTGCTCAAGTGAGTTCTTCCTCTAGCATAACTTCCGGCTTCAGAAAGAGGATGAAAAGCTGCTTTACTTACAGAGTGTGACACAAATCTGCAACACAAAACTATGCAAGCAGCTTTGTAACAGAACCAAAACTCAAGCCTTGCCCCCTCCCAAGCAAATGCCTTAATCAGGGTGGCAATGCCCACCCTTTCTTTGCACCTCATCATCTTGATGTTTCTCATGCAAAGCCGAAGAAATTTAACAGGAAGGTAGGGGACAAGTGTCAGCACCTCTAGCAGCTCCTAGCCTGGTGGCCGTTACACTATTTTGGGAGGTAAAACACGTTGAGTTTCAGGGTTTCTGGATGAGAGATGGAAAGCAATTGCCCTCTCGAGGCAGAGAGCTCTGCCAATTAGACAACAACAGCGTCTCCACTTCCCAAAGTGTCTCAGGGGACACAAAATGTGCCTCACTGTTCTTCGAGACAGTGACATAGATGTATAAGGGCAGACACCTTCCGCTGAAGTTACACGCCTGAACGAAGAAACAGTGAGACAAGCCACCAGCAGCGGCTTCCGTGTTCTCTGGGCTGCTGGCGGCTGTAGGTCTTATGCAGAGCTGAACGCAAGGAGCCCGGCACTTCTGTCACCCTTGCGAGAATTGTGTGCTGCAATACTGAACTTGCCCTACCTACTGCCGATTCTGGATCCGTCTTCGTTCCTTAAAGCCTGGAAGAGACTCCGAAGGCAAATGTTGGAAGCTTGAATGTGGTGATTTTAAAGGAGAGTTGTCCAAATATCAAGAATGCTAGAGTAACTATTTGTTGTACGACTGTTGTACTATGCTACTCTATGTTCCTCTTCAGAGACACCTTTTGCTATTGCAGGAAGTTGGTTGTGAGAAACTGAAGAGGGATTTCCTTGGCACAAAGAACTTGCCACAGTGAACTTACTGAATTTTTGTTTGCTGTCCCTCTTCAGTTGCTCACACTAGATTTCAGCCCTTCACCTTTAAGACTTTAACACAAAAGCCTTGCAGTTCAGTAGAAACTATGTTATCCAAATCACTGGACTTGAGACCAGTAACACTCACACAGTAAGGTATATTGGCAAATTGGATGCACAGGATCTTACTATACTACACTAAAGAATAGCAATAGAGTTCACTTTTAGATTAAAAACCTTAAAAATTATCTATTCAGATATCACCTACAGTATGCAAGAAGATACATGTGTTTACTACTATTAAAAATTAATATGGACTGCA